CCAGCCGCGTGAAGCCCACGATGTCAGCATACAGCACGCTGGGCAGGGCAAATGGCATCAGTGGGGCCAAGATCTCAGCCCACACCCCTCGCTCCTCTGACCATCCCCTCTCATACCTGACTCCCTGGTGCCTCTTGACATAGAGGCTGTGGAAGTTGTTGGTGCTCTCTGGCCGTGACCCCTGTCCAGCCTGCAGCCGTGCCATGATCTCTGCCTTCATCTCTCGGGCCAAGTAGGCAGGAAGGATGGACAAGAGAAGGTGTTCCTGGAGGAGATCACTATGAACACCCACCCTCTTGCAACCTGAAGCCAGGAGTCCCAGCCTCCCAGCGACCTAGGAGCTCACCCACTTCCCCAGCCCCACCAGGTGGGCCCCAGGGTACTCCCCCAGATCCTCCCCATCACATAGAGCTGGGCTTCAGCACCCCATCCTGCGCTATCACCTTTAGGGACTGAACTCCCAGCACCGATGCCAGAATGACTTCTTCGTTTAGTATCGCAAAAGTGCTTTTAGAAGCTTCGGGGTTTTCGAGACTTAACACAACTTTCCAAGGTGGGCAGTAACCACGTTTTACAAAGGAGGAGAGAGAAGGGCAAGTAACCTGCCCAAAGTCATTTGGCTTGCAAAGGAGCCCCGTTGTGTGATGTAAACAACTCCTTTCTCAAACCCCGGTCCCGCCCAGCCTCCCAGGCCCAAGCGGACCTGGTGCTTCTTCTCGGTGTCCAGCCGGCGGCGCGAGTGCAGGGAACGAAGAGCCTCCCGGAATGTGGCGCGCAGCGCGCGCTCCATCAGTGCCTTGTGGTACGCCCCGGCCACGTTCCCACACAGGAACAACACGGCGTTTGCTGCCAGCTGGGGGAGGGGAGTGGCTACGTGTGTAGCTGGAGTTGGTCCCCAAGAGGGTTGAGGAGGACTCCACAGTGAGAGACTGGAGTATTTCCAGGCCATTGGTGCCACACTGCCCAGTCCCTCGGGGGCACTTCTCCTGCCCCAGTATCCCTGCTCTAGACTCAGTTGAGCACCAACAAGGCCTCTTAGGTCTAGAAACCCTTGCACACACATTTCCTCTGCTTGGAATACCACCCCACCATCTACACCCCTCCGTGTCCCCCGCAGCACAAAATTACTCAAGCTCCAATTTTTACGTTCGCTGTGAAGGTTCCATCATCCACATCTGTCCCCACAACTCTGGTCCCCTGGGGAAGTCCCTTCCCCGTGGGCCCAGAGGGGTCTTCTGGGGTCTGCAGCATCGTGCTGCAGTGGTGTACCTGCTCCACGAGGGCACCGTCTGGGTGCATGTGTTTGTGCTTAGCGTGGCGCCCTGCCATGGAGTCCCAGCTCAGCAAGCGGTTGGTGCATGCTCAGAGGAACCAACGCGGCGTGCTGCCCAGTGGGCCCTGGGCGCAGTGGGGGCCCCGGGGGCGCAGCCTGGACTACGTGCATGCGTTCTCACCTGCGGCAGCAGCGCCGGCCGAGAATCCGGCTGAGGCCCCAGGTACAGCCCAAGGACCAGCAGGTGGGAGAGTGATGAGGCAAGGCCCGCGGCAGCAGCATCCCGCATGCCCAAGGGCAACATGGCATACACGGTGAATATGATGAAGAGGAAAAAGGACACCTGGGGGAGAGGCGCACGGGAAGCTGCTGGCTACTCTTGGCCCGGGCGTCCTCCTGCCCCCTGCTCCACCTGCCGCTCCTCTCACCTGATCCCAGGCGCTCACCAGGCCCCCAGTGAACTGGAAGCTGTGGCCTAGCCCGAGTAGTGCGGCCCACACCAGGACCGACAGGGGGCGTGTCCAGCGCTGCAGTCGTTGCTCGCGGGAAGCCAGACCCAGGAGCAGCGAGAAGCCACCCAGTGCGCACAGCACAGTGGTCAGGAAGCCCCGGTCTGAAGCTAGATCCTGTGGGGAGGGGGTGCTTGCGGCAAGACTGGAGTGCGGAGTTTGGGGAGCTCCTCCAAGTTGAAGAACAGGCAGCCCCCCAGGCCACCTCTGAAAAGTGTCTCAAACTCAAGTCGGAAAAGGAGACAGTGCACCTGGGCTGGCCATTCAGATTAGGTTGAACCATAGGAAGTTGCCAAGAATCTGTTTTTAATCTACAGAGCCAGGGGGCGCCTGGGTGGCTCAATCATTAAGCGTTTGCATTCGGCTCAGGTCATGATCCCAGGGTCCTGGGATCGAGTCTTGCATCGGGCTCCCTGCTCAGCGGGAAGCCTGCTTCTCCCTCTCCCACTCCCCCTGCTTGTGTTCCTGCTCTCGCTCTCTCTCTCTCTCTCTCTGTCAAATAAATAAATAAAATCTTAAAAAAAAAAAATCTACAGAGCCTGCAATGGTTCAACCTCATATCTCACTGGCAGGGTGCTAGAGCCTTGGGTCATCTACCCAGAGCCTACCCATATGGCACATTTGTGAATCTATGACCTTTCTGAGCTCATTTTCTCATCTGTCAAATAGGAACTGGAACACCATCCTGGGGTCCTGACACAAGTGAAAAAGCCTACGTCACAGAAGGCACTTAGGAATGAGCGTATCCAAAACTGGCCAATTTGCTCAGGAGATTCCCTGCCCTGGGCACAAGTCTGGGAGTAGCCGCGCCCCCAGCTCCAAAAAGTGCCCCAGCAGCAGGGGGCACCTGGAACCTCCCTCGTGGCAGGGCAGGGGGGAGCGCTACACTTTCACCACCCACCTCTGGGCGTCGACCTCCTGCCGCTGTCCCTGCCCTGCGTCCCCACCTCTTCCTGGACTTCAAGGTGGCCCAGCAAGAATTGGTCAGTTTAGTGGTTTCCCCAACTCGCTTCCAAAAAGTGAAAAGAAAACTTGAAGCAAAATATTCCCAGAAATGGAATTGAAGACCCCCTTTCTCCTAAAAAAAAAAAAAAAAGGAAACTGGAAATGGATTTGGGGACTAAATGTGAGTGGGAGTCCATGGGTACAGCTGCCCCTCGGCCCCTGTGAGAGAAAGAAAACCAGGAAACGGATTCCCACGGGGCCCCATGTAATTTCCCTTCTGGAAAACTGGAAAACCCGGTGTTGAATTTACTCTAGAACCAGTAGATCACAGAAGCTCAGAAGGTCTGTCAGTCCCCTGAGAGAAATTAAAAGCACCCAGGGCTCGGCTTTCTCCCAGCAGCCCAGCGACTGTGGCCCAGAGAGGTGCAGTGACTTGTCCAGGATCACTACATTTCCTAGCAAGGCTCGGCGCTTCTTTCCTGGGTTCCAGCAAAGAACACATGTCAAAAAGAAGACCCCTCCCTAAGTCTCTACCCCGAAAACGCCCTCTAGACGGTGACCCTCCCGCCACCCTCGGGAAGGAGCCCCCCCCCCCACCAGAAGGAGCCCCGCTCACCCTGCCGCTGGCGTAGGCGACAGCCAGCATCGCCAGAAGTGCGCAGAGCACGATCACCAGCAGCAGAAGCAGCAGTGGGTACTGCTGGCTCAGGCTGTAGTAGGTCTCGTAGAAGAGGTCTTCGCTGGGGGGCGGCCGGGGACTGAAGAGGCGGGCCATGGTCCCCCTGCCCCGGGCTGCGTCGCCCCGGGGGTGGAGGGCGTACCCCCGGGCTGGGGAGGGCCAGGGGCTGCGTTACCGCCTGTGGCCGCTCGGGGCCCCAACTGTGCCTCTCTCACTGGGTCCAAGCCACTTCCACCCCGTTTCCCCAACCGGGTGGCAATCCCAGCTGCCAGGCACTCCCCGTGGCCTCCCAGCCTTTTCCCAGTTGGCTGTGAGAAGACTGCCCCATCCTTCGCTCCTCCTCCCTCAAACCCAGACTGCAGAGGTGCCCTAGCAAAAGCCTCGGCTGCGGGTGGGGCAGGATTTGGGTTTGAAGCAAAGGAGCCTCGGGTTCCTCTTTTACCCCCAAACTCACTGCCGGGATGCTGCCGCGGCTTGAATGGGCGAGGCGCAAGGAGGGAGCCCAGGGCAGCCGGTGGCGGAGTCCCGATCGATCGCCGAGAAGCTAGTGGCTCAGAGCCCCGGGCAGCGGGCGCTTCCCTCCCTGCGCCGGGGCCCCCTCCCATTTCCCCGACGGGACTGCCCTGCCCGGCCCCTTCCCGTGCCGAGGCGGACTCCCCAGGCCTCCTCCCTCCCTCATTGTCTCCCCTAACACTGTCGTTGCCTCCCCGCTCCAGCCCCATCGAGCAAGGGGGATGCGAACCGTGGGAGAGGCGAGGGGGTGGGGTGGGCCAGGCTGAGCAGCAAGTGTCAAAATGGGGGTGGGCCCTTGGCCACCGGGAGAGTGAAGGAGCTCTGGAGCGAAGGCTGGTGAGAATGTAGGGAAGGATGTGGGGCCCAATCGGGGCTAGGATTTAGGTCGGGATGGGGCGGGGATGGGGGCGGCGGGTGGGCCTGTTCCGCTCCCCTCCTGCCTGGATGCAGCTGCTGTGGAGTCTGAACTGTTCCTGTCCCATCGGTCCAGCTCCATGGGAGGGGGCACGTCTGTGTGTAGCTCTGTGGAGCCAAAGCTTTCCACTGCAGACACCAGCTGAGGGTCAAAGGGCTCCGCCTGGGCAGCAACGTGCGCGGGAGCGCAGGCGGTGAGCGCTTGCGGTGGAGGGGAATAAGAAATCAGGCTGACCTCAGAGAGGCTGGGGGCATTGTGCAGGGCAAGAGATGTGCCGGGGTCTTCCAATGCCCGTGGAGAGCCCTCTCCCCAGGACCCCACTGCGGCGTCTCCCTAGCCCAGAGGAAAAGGGGGGCTGTGAGACTATCCCCAGAATTTTGGTATAGGGTGGGGTCTCAGCCGAGCTAGAGGAAGTTGTCCGCCCAGAGATTAGAGCGGCCCCTGGAGCCAAGGCCTCAGGGATTCCTTCCTGCCGCCAGCTGGGCCCTGACCTTGTGTGCCACGCCACCGCCCACTCCCAGCCCCGAGCATCCCGCTTCCGGCCTCAGCTAGAGGGCAGGGCCTCCCTCCGGGTCAGCTCCGCAGTCTCCCATCCGCGTTTCCACCGCCGGCCCCTGGCCTAAGCCTTAGCCTCCCAAGTGTGGCGCTTTGGTTTTCAAAACCCATCACGTTTATTGACTTCTGTGTGCACAAATCAGTTGGCCTTCACAGAAAGCCTCAGCTAATTGCCTCACATCCAAGAGGTAGCTCAGAAGGTGCGTCATACTGGCCCTGCAGCCGGCTCCGGGCTTCTTGGTTCTTGCGGCCCTCCTTTCCAACCTACTTGTGGGGGGCACGCGGCCTGCCTTGACCCTGGCCCCAAGGCGCCAGGCCTGGCGTGGGCAAGGCAGTTCCTTCTTGTATAACCAAGTAGTTGTTGTCTCCCACCTGCACCGCATGGCTGTCACGTATGATAACAGGGATCCCTTTAAGAGAAATTGTGTTGGTGGGGCGGTGAAGCAGTCGGGAAACGGACTCAAAATTAGGAGGAGCGCGGGGTGGAGGGGCAGCGGCACCTTGTGTCCATCCTGGGGAAATGCAAGTATGGGGTCTCTAGGGCGGCCTGCGACTGTGTCAAATGTGCCCTTGGGCTTTGAGCTGCCCCTTCGGACCTGGGTTTGCAGAAGCTCAGAAGGAGTGGCAGCTAATGTCTGAGACCCTGAGATTTGGGGTTTTTTTCTTTTAGGAGCTCCTCTGGGCCAACAGAGCAACAGCAGAAGTTAGGGGTTCACAGAGCTGGTTCTGGGGAAAGTCAGAAGGCCCAGGGCAAATCCAGGCTTTGCTGTGTGACCTCAGCAGGACCCAGGCCCAGTGGGTGTCAGTTTCTTCATTTATGACATGAGAAGTTTGGGATAGTTGGCCCCTAGCCCTTTCTCCCTCCCGCTACCCAAGGTAACCCGGATCTATAGACAGTCTTGAGGAAGAAGGCATTGGGAGAACTGAGTAGGAGAAAGGCAGGAGTGAGGAGCAGGTACCTGGTTTTGGATTGGGCCTTGGTGCCCTGGGAGACCAGTTGGTGCCACGTCTCTTAGACCCCTGCAAACAGCACAGCTCTCTTAGGCTCCCCGTCTCGGGACCAGTTCCCCTGCCGCATCCCCCTCAGCCCCAAGTTCTCCCTGGCAAAGGGGACAGGATTCACGGGAGTCCTAGTGCATCCTCTAGTCCTGCCAGTGTCTCACCTGATCCCCTTCGGGTCCAGGACCTGGGGTCCAAGCCAAGTTGGGGCTGGGCATCCGATTTGTGAAAAGTGAGGTCTCTGGAGTTTGGGGAGATGGGGCTGTTGAATCGGAAGGTATCCCTGCTATCTGGGCGGGCTGAACTTTGTCTCCCCATGCCCTGGTCCTCTCAGGAAGGTTTGTGCATTTTTTAGGAGCAGAGCTGGCGGACTCTTTCAGATTTAGTTTGTTTAGCATCTCAGCGGCTATGATGTCATGGCTTCCTGTGGTTCCCCTAGGGCCTTCCGTTTCTGTCCCTCCTGGGCCTGGCTTAGGCGCAGACGACATCCTGTTGCTGCCCCGGTTTTCACACAGGAACTTCTTCACCTGCAAGGACATGGGGAGCTTTCTGGGCACGGAGGTGGGAGAGCCAGCCTAAACCGAAGGGGGGAGTCTCTTGGTCCATAATCTATCACCTGGGAACTCAGTGGTGAGGTGGGGAGAGTGAGGACAAAGATTAAGGCACAAAGAACAGTGGTCAGTGGGGAGTCATTGAGTGGCCAAGGGAGCCATACTGTGCCATCCTTGCCCGGCTCCTGGGTTGGGGGGGTGGCAATGGACACTCACCATGGAGACTGCAGCATCCATCTCCTTGGTTACCAGACTGAGGGCTTCCTCGGTGTTTGGTTGGCATTCTGGAGACAAGACAGAGTGGGTGGCAGACAGGTGAGCCAAACCTTCCCAGGGAGAAGCACTCTGCTGACAGATCCAGGCCTACCCTGGCTGCCAGATGACTGGCCAGTTCACCTTGGAAGGAGGGCCTGTCCTTGGGCTCCTGGCTCCAGCAGTGCTGCATTAACTCCGTCAGTCCTTCCAAGCCAGGAGTCTCAGGGCTGGGCTGGGGCAGCTTGGTCAGCGGGGGCCGGATCTGCCTCTCACACCCTGCTTCCTGCTCCAGCGATGTCTGGGCCACTACTGGGGTGGGGGTGGGGGATGCAAAGAGAAGACATTCAGGGTATGAGGGGCCACTTGCTCCATCATGGAAGGGGGAAAGGAGTGTAGTCCAAGGGGAGGTGAGGAGAAGGTCGGGTAGCGTGAGTGGGTAAGCTGGAAGAAAGAAGGTATGGAGGCTTGCAGGAGGAGGGCACCCGGAGTTAAGGATCCCAGTGTCTGCCCAGAGTCTTACTCTCAGCTTCTCTTCCAGCTAGCACTGCCCACATTAGGATCCCGAAGCTGCAGGAGACACAAAGCTGAGGCCTGGCCCAACTGCTGGCAAAGATTCCTTTCCCATATATGGTCCCCTAGAAAGGCCCAGAGAGGTGTATAAATGTGGAATGTGTGTTTGGAGTGGGTACCTTACCTGTAGACATCACTAGCCATGGTGGCGTTCCGGTTTACATCAGCCAACAGTTCTGGGGCCAAGTAGGCTGGGGCTGACTCCCCAGAGCCAACTCCTGACCTTGAGCCTCTCTGAAACGTGGACAGGCCAAAATCTGCCAGCTGTAAGGGAAGGAAGAGGGGGAAGGTAGATGATGGACAGGGCCAGGCAGCTTCCAGAATCCCCTCTCCCACCACAAGGTGCAGGTCCAGCCTTATAAAGGGGGTTTTGAGGGTTAGGGGAATGGCAGGACCAGTGGGGCCCTTGGGTTGGAGGTCTGGGTCCCCTCTTCAGGGGGCTGGGTCAAGGTCTGAGTCTCCTGAGCTAGGTCAGCCATGGGTCTTTGGCCGGACTGGTGGGTGGGCCTGTGGAACTGACCGTATGCGTCAGGGTCCCTCCCACCTGGTAGGGTAGGAGCTAAAGCTCCTGGTTGGGCTTTGACCCTCGGGCAGCCCTGTGTCCAGAGGGAGATGCTGAGGGTATGGAGTAGAGAGGGCTGCAACAGGTTCTGTGTCCAGGGGCTGGGCTGGGCTATGGACAGGCTGACCTTGGCGTGCAGGTCTGAGTCCAGCAGGACGTTGGAGGGCTTGATGTCCCGGTGCAGAAGCACGGGGTTCCGGCTATGCAGGTAACACATCCCCAGCACGAACTCCCGCAGCAGGCGGCAGAGGAGAGGCCAGGGACGAGGACAGCCGGGCTGCAGCAGCCCTGCCAGGGAACCATTTTCCAGGAACTGAGTCACCAGAGCCGGCCCGCAGGTGGATTCCCACTGTAGCTTCTGAGTGACCCCCAGCAGGAGCAGTAGGTGCTGGTTCCGCAGACTTGCCATGGCCTTCACCTCCCTGGATATCGCCTCCCTACACTCCGGGAAAGTGCAACGGCGCCCTTGACTCCGGGACGATCCCTCCCCTCCCCATTCAGGCCCAGCAGTGGCCCCTCCTCCTTGGGCAGACCCTGGGAGGCCCATGGCTCAGGTCACTCACCCCTTCAAGATTTTGACCGCCACATCTAAGTCCCACGTCCTGTGTCGCGCCCGGAACACCACCCCGAACCTGCCTGCGCCGATGAACTCTGGGTTCTCCAATTCTTCGACAGACACCAGGGAGGCTGGGGTACCGCCGGGCCTGAAAGAGGGGGTCTTCCAGCTCCTCCCCGTACCGCCCCCACCTCCGTGACCCCGGTGACTCCATGTGGTCAGTTCAAACTCTAGCTCCCCCGGCCCCCTCCCCACCCTCCACTGACCATAACTTGCCGCCAGACATCCGGCTGGAAGGTGCAAGTCCGCACGGAAGGAGGGACTTCTGGGAGCGGGGTTTGCGGCCGAGAGGGGCAGGGGTCGTGAGAGGGATCAATCGCTAGGTTTGCTCCCCTACCCAGGGTGACTAAACCACTTCCTTCTTGGGCGGGTGCATCTACGGCCCCGCCCCAGCCGGGAGGGAGACAGAACGGAAGCCTTGAAGCCTCGGCTCAGCCAGGGGTGTCCGACGACGCGGTGGACGCTGGAGGCAGAACGGAAGCGAGCGCTTTTCTTTACTAACTCAGGGTTCCTGAGCACCTGCCGCGGATCACGGTCAGCTTAACTGTCCCTGGGCACTTGGGTGCCACAGAAGAAGTCCTCATCTGCCAGGAGCCCACGGTCCACTCTGGCAGTTGGGGTCTCTCCCTTCTCCCACAAGATTTCTGGCTCCACCACCTACCCGGGGTGCGGTGGGGAGGGGATGGTGCTGAGGAATGTTTTATGTTGCTAGCGCTCAGCAATCCCCCAAATGCCCCTACGATCATAGCTGACAATTCTATAAAGCTTGACTGTGCCAGGTACCCGTATTAGCTTATCTGATGCTGACGTCAACCCTAAGGGGATTGGTACTGCTTTTATTACTTCTTTATGGATGAGGAAACAGGCACTTAAGTACTTAAGGTAGTTTAAGTACCTTGCCCAAGTCAGTATGGAGCTGACTTTAAGCCCAGCTCAGAACCATCAAAGGGTTCCTGTTTTCAGATAGGCTTCCGGGGCTCCACCTCCCAGCTGGCCCTGAATGTGGCTAAAGAAGGTGTGAATAGTGTAGTGAAGGGTCCCTGTCTGTATTCCTGCCCAGTCCCTGACAGCTGTTCTTGCTGAGGCAAGCCCTTGGCATTGGTAGTGACTTGACTCCCAGGGCATGGTGGTAAGCTAGATGAACTGGCCCAGCCAAGTGTGTCTGCCATTGTGGTGGACACTGGAGGGGAAACGCATCCCTGCCCTCTCCCCCCACACCAACCCGTCCATGCAAATTCCCTGGTTAACACATGTTCCCAAACAAGCATATACTCTGGACAAGGGCCTTTGGAAACTCAGGAGCTTGGGGAGCCTTAAGGATTTAGGGTAGACAAAAGGTGTCTATGTTTTACCCACTCCCTACTCTCCACTCTTGGGCTGGCTACCCAAGGCCTGACCGTGGCTGGACGTTGTGGAAACTCTGTGTGGCCAGTCCTAGGCACTCAGTCCTTCATGGGGAAACCCGACTCTCACGGAAGGTGATCACCTTGGTATGCACTTTCCATTCTGTCCGGTGGTCCATGGGCTCTGCTGGATGGAGCAAAAGTGGCCAGCAGTTAACTGTGATTTCTGGAGCAGCTGGGAACTCCGGGAGCCATCCCATGAATTTTGATGGAGCCAGTTTGTGCTATTTTGGAGCTATTTAGGGAATTCTAAGACTGTAGTGTCTTTTAAAAGCCAGTACCTGGTAGGTACCCAATAAATATTTGTTGAATTGAATTAATACATGAACAACCAAGACTTTGGGGGCTTCCTTACAACTTAGATCACTCCAGCTGGAGCTCCATACTCATTGGGAGGAGAAAAGGTGGTTGAGCTTCTCTAAGGTGTGGGAGCTCTTGCCTGTACCTGCATGGTTGACAGAACCCACCTGAAGTTGACTTTATTGTAGAGACAGGGTGGTATCTCACAAACCATAAAGGCAAGTGCGGCAGGTCCTCAAGTCTAGTCCGGAGTCAAGAGCCACCAGAGAGGGCAGCCATCCTTTTCATGATTCTCTTTTGGGAGAACACCCTGGGGCTCCTCTTGAGGGGGAACAGGCAGAAAGGCATGAGAAGGGTGCTTACCAACCTTTTTGTGGCTGAATAGCTTCAGATTGGAATAAGGACCTGAGCATCAGGCGTAAGCAGCTATAAAGCATGGGGTTGGGGAGAGTGTCAGAGCCTGTACTCCTTTTTGACTCAAACCAAACCCATTTAAAAGAAGGACGGGGGCAGCGAGAGGAGCCTGGAGTGAGTGCCTGAAAAGACTCTCTGCTTCTGGGTGGAGGAACCACCTGGCAAAACAGAGTTGATTCCTGGGTTTTGGAACTGTGGCCTTACCTGAGGCCTAGTGCCCCTGATCCCTAGCAGAGCCTCTGCCTCTGTCCCTGTCCCAGGCTTTTGGAGTCTATTTAGGTATCTCTCATCCCTTCAGTTCTTTGCTCCTGATTGTCTTTGGTTACCTTCAGCCCATGCCTAGTACCTGCTTTGGTTCCCTATCCTTAGTTGTGGGGGTGGGAGGGCAGAGGATGGGGTTTCTCTTCTTGCATATTCCTAGCCTGAACTAATTCTTATCTGTTGTTTGAGGAAGAGAATCCAATTATAGATCAAATGGTATTAATTGAGATGATGGTAAAAAGGATTATGGAGAATTTTCATTTTCCTTAGTGTTTGGATAGTTTATATTAGCATATATTACTTTTTTTAAAAAAAGATTTTATTTATTTGTCAGAGAGAGAGAGAGCACAAGCAGGGGGAGTAGCAGACAGAGGGAGAAAGCAGCCTCCCCGCTGAGCAAGGACCCCGATGCGGGACTCGATTCCAGGACCCCAGGATCATGACCCGAGCCAAAGGCAGATAGATGCTTAACCAACGGAGCCACCCAGGCATCCCAGCATATATTACTTTTATAAACAGTTAAAGAAGGAAGAAGATCATATCTATGCAATAATTTAGCTGTAAGGATATTCACTAAAGTGTTGTTTAACACAGTCAAAAAAATAGAACCCTAAATATCCAATAGTAGGAAAAAGATTACACATAAATAAATATATATTACAAAGATTATAAATAAATTATGTAGTGGATAACTCTGTAGCCTTTAAAATGATACTCTAAACCTGTGCTTATTAATATGACAGGTGTTTATCATATATGAAGTGGGGAAAAAAGCAAGTTATAAAGCAATATGTACCATATAATCACATTTTTGTTTGTTTGTTTCAAAAAAATTCTCTTCCAGTAGCATGACAGAGTTCTCAAAAGCCTCCCATAGCAGGATACCTAAATGCTACATAAAACATAACCAACACATTAAAAAAATGCCTTAGTGAGCTTCCAAGAAAAGAAAGGTAATCTCCCCAGGGCATCCCCCTGAAACTAATAAAATAAAACAATACAAAACAAAAAGTAAATAGTAAGCAAACAGCAGGTCAACTAACTAGAAGCTTAGAGTTTGGGGGACTGGGAAAGGGATATAGAAGGTTGGGGAGGAACCACAGAGTGAGCCAGTCATAGGGCCTAGGAAGATGGAAGAACTAAATATAAGACACCCTATTCCCTAAAAAGCTGGGATCCTCAAATGGGCTACCTTCTCAGTGGAAAGGAAAAAGTCCACCTGCTTACAAAGGGAACCTACAAGAAATCCTGTCTAGGCTGCAGCACTAGATGTTAAAATTAATTAAAAATGTTGGTTTCCACATGAGCTCTGCTCTCACAAGGATCTGTGGTTGCAATGTTTACTCTTCCTTTGATCAGCAAACCAGAAGCTGAAAAATTTAAGTGGCCCAGATTATTAATGCCCTCTGGAATCTGGCAGAAGCAAACTGAATCCTCCTTAGAGGAAAGCATGATCAACCCAAGCTTCTGGATTAAATTCTGCCAAATAGAGACTCACACAAAAAATTTCTAAATATGTAAGGATTCAAAGCACCATGAGGGAGAATCAACAAGAACAAAAATCAACAGGGTTGGATCTTTAAGGACTGCAGAATTTGGAATAATCAGATGAAGAATCTAAAGAAGCTTCTGGGAAATGTTTAAAGAGATAGAAGATGGAATAGAAAAAAAATGAGCAAGGAATAAGAGAGTATAAAAAATGCCCAGATAGATTTAGGAAAAAAAAAAAAAAAAGAACATCAAGAAATTTAAGAAAAGGGCGCCTGGGTGGCTCAGTTGGTTAAGC